TTTATCTTGTACGGAAAGGGACACATCTGAATGCCAATCACCCAAAATCTGAATTTCATCAGCGGCAATGTTAGAAGCAACGGCAAATGAAGCAAACCCACGACGAAAGGAATGAGACGAAAATTTAGAAGAATCATAACCCAATTCAGAGAGAAGAGATCTTAATCTCTTTTGAAACATGTAATAAGTAACTGCTTTATCATTATTTAACACAAATAAAGGTTGATCTACACTTTTAGTAGGAATAACCTTAAGCATATGATTATATGCAGTAACAGGACATAAAATAGAAGGATACAATTTAATAATAGGAGTTTGTAACAAGCGTTGGCCAAATTGTATAGTTTTAGACCATCTAAAAGTAACACAAAGATTTTCCCCAATGGTAGACACATCACCACGTAATAAAAAATGTTTGACTTCCAAATCAGCCTTTCTAGTAGGAACTAAATTTGACTTTCTAGCCACCAAGAAAAAGGCAAACAAAAATAAACACCAGAAAACTGAATCATCAGAATTATCAAAATCTAAAATACCATGAATCTGACATAAAATCAGAGGTGATATGGCTTCAGCTTGTTTGACCGTATGTTGTTTAATCCGTGTCAAACCTTTTAAAGACAAATTAACAAGAAACTGATTCAAATGATCTAATGAATATCCTAACAATAAATGCATTGATCTAACCCCACTGAGATAATTTCTAATACTATCTACAGATTTAAAAGAACGACTCAAAAACTGAGCGTATAACTGTAAAGTGTAAGTATCAGCTGGCAAAAAATTAAAATGAAAATATAAACAGAACAAAACAAAAGATTCCCATTGAATCCTCAAATTTGTTTGAGAACCAGCTGCATAAGCCGACAAATTTGTAACTTTAAGGTCGTGTTTTAACTCTTTAAGTTCTTTTTCTGAAAGAAAGAAGAAAAAGAAAATTTTCTATTCAAATAATTACCAATCATTTATAAAATGAAATAAATCATCCGGCACTGAAAACTCTCGAGTACTAACATCTCTTGTCAACAACAAAAAATCCTTTTGAAAAGTATCACTCAAATGCCATCTAGAAAGGGAGTCTGCCAACCTATTTTGAATACTAGATAAATAGGCTGTTTTAATTTCACACTCATAAATGGCAGAGATATAACAAACTTCTCTTAAACCATTCTGAAATAACTCAGACCTAGATCTACCAGTATTCAAGACTTGACAAACAGATTGATTATCACAAAAGATAACAATACGCTTGCCTTTAAGATGATTGCCCCATAATTTAAGAGCAACAACAATAGCAATTAACTCCAATAAGCCAATATCAAACTGTTTTTGTTTGATAAAATCTGGAAATTCTGTGTGGAAAAAATAACCATCGAAGTAACCACCACAGCCCGATAAACAACTATCGGTTGAAAACACACCATCTGGCTTTGACCAATCATCGTACAACATAATGGAAACACCATTATAAACAGGTAAAAACCTATTCCACCAGTGCAAATCTTTTTTAACATAATCAGGAATCTCATTTTCCTGATGTGGATTGGCATCATGAATAGACCTTAACCAATTTAACAATCTACTAATAAAAATACGACCTGGTCTAACACAGGCTGCCACAAAATTAAGTTTACCAATAAGAGATTGTAATTCTCTAAGTGAAGATTTTGACTTATGCAACCATGAAATTATCAGAGTTTTAATTTCATTTAACCTTTCACAAGTAACCTCCATAGTCATGGAATTTGTATTAAACAAAACTCCTAAAAACACCATATTTTCAGAGGGTATACAAGCTTTATCAAAGGATTCTTTTAAACCTGCCTCCTGAAGTATGTTTCTTAAACAAAGAAAGGCAAACTGTGCCTTATCACTAGATTCAACACCTGCTAAATCATCTAAATAATTTAATATAGGCATTCCTAAACGAAACATCATAAAAGATATAGCAGTAGTAACCCTTTGACAAATGGCTGCAGCATTCCTCAACCCCATTGATAACACAGTATCACAAAAAATATGTTTTTTCCATTGATAACACACCAAATTATAATCACCAGGACATATATGTATTTGTCTATACGCTTTACGTAAATCTAATTTATACATCAAACAATTTTTACCTTTCCCTTTTATCAAATTTATAAAATCATCAATTCTTGGAAATACTAAATTAATATCTTCCCCTAAATAAAAATCTTTACTAATAAAATCATTTACAGCAAAATTTTTAGGAAAACTTAAATCAAGAATAACTCTTCTTTCAGACGTATCTTTCTTGGGAACTGAAATAAGAGGAGATATTTTCATGGAGTCACTAAAAGGATTAGACATAAAAAATCCAATGATTGACTTATTAGATTTTTCTTTCCCTAAATAACCTGTAATATCAGAAAGAAATAACTCGGCACCTTTATGATTTTTATACTTCCATAATTCTTTTTGAGTGAATGAATAAACATCACCATGAAAATCTAAGGGAAAACCATATAATAATAAATCTACAACCATAGTATCTTTATAACCAGATAACATTCTATTCCAGAACTCAACATTTATTTTATTGGTGACAGGAATACGACAACCTAAAAAATTAGGCAAGCCTGACCTTTTAACTTTTTCATGTAAATCAACTCCATTAAAGGATATATCGTTCAACTCTGATTTTGTGACTTTACAAATATTACATTTTTTAGAATGACTACATAAAGGAACATTTACCGCAACAGTTTTCTGATCATCTATTATTTTTTCAATTTCAACTTGACAAAATTTCGGGAAAAAAATATCAACAGATTTTTCATTTGTTTTACATATCTCTGAAAGTCTTGAAAAGCCTGTTCTAAGTCACTTTTGACTATGTGGACAAGCACTTGAACATTCAGGATGTTCTAGTTTCTTGTTATCCTTCAACCAGCAAGTTCCACAAATATGTGAAGCTAATCTTTGTCTTCCCTTTACAACCATTAAATGAGAAGATGATTTATGAAGACATTTGTTCTTCTGATACAATGGACAAAACCAGACTTTTTCTTCAGCTACAACATCTTCTTTAACTTTATAATTCATTCGTTTCGAAAAATTTGTTGATTTTTTCAAAGAAACTCTGGCTAAAACACTGGATTCTACGTAATGAAAGTCATCCCCCCACTTTTTGTGTCCTAACTCAATTTCTCTCAAAATAGCTGCATATAATGATTTCAAAATAGAAAATTCATATGAATTGTTTAAATACATTAAACGTTTCAATAACTCTAATCTTGCTTCTCTTTCTTTCTTTTTTGTTGATGATTGGGAAATGATTTCCAATTCTCCCGCCACAAATAGATTCATTTCTAACGACTCAAAATCAACACTTGAATTGACGTGCTCATATCTCAAAAAGGCATGAGGATATTTTTGTTGAGATTTAACATGATCCGAAGATTTGGATGAAATACCAGACTTTTTGGAATATGAACTCTTTTTAATACTGTAATCTGAAGTATCTGAATCTGTAGAACCATCATCATGATACGATTTAGATTTTGTACCAGATTTTTTCTTTTTCAATTTGTAGCTTTGTTCAGACTCAGAACTTTCGGACCCAGAATCTGAGGATGATTCTAACAAGCCAGCTTTCTTTAATTCTTTCTTTGCTTTCAATTTTAAATTCTTATTTTTTCTTAAATCTTGTAACGTACAGGATGCCAATTCAGGAGAAAGATCTAAATTCTCACCTCTGAGTTCAGCTAAAGATTTTCTTTTGTGACTTATCTTTTTCTTTAATTTACTTATCCTGGCCTCGTTCTGTAGTTCTTCCTCTTCCTTCACCAAAGACTCGTATTCTTTTTCAAGTAAAAGAAGTGTTTCATCACTTTGGCTGAGTTTTCTTTCTGTGCTTGAAGAGTGACCTCCCTCTTTCGCGCCATTACCAACAACAACAACCTCATTGTCCGAAGGGATTTCTGACTGCTCCCATCCGAAACCCTCAGAATTGAGTTTACCATAATCATGTCGAAGAGTACCTCTACTTGATTTCTTCTCCGCCATTTTAAATTTACACGTATAAAATAAACGTGTTCAAACAAAAAGTTACCAAAATAAATACAAAAAACTGTTTCAAATAAAGAAAACAGTTTCAAATTCGAAAATCCTTTCACAAAAAACTACATTTTGTTTCGAAAATAAATAAGCCGAAATGTAAAAGAACGAAAAAATTTCTGTTTTCGAAACTTCCAAAAAAGACTAGAACGTGATCTCGACTACAAAATAAGTAACAGAATGGCGAGCAAAAGCAAAATAACCTATATATAGGTAATTAAACAACCTATCAAATTCAATAACAGAAATTTGAAATAATCCAATCAGCAATCTAAAAAATAAACCGTTGACCAACGAGATAAGCTGATATAACCAGAGGTCAACTCGATTCAAATAAAAACTTTATCATTCACAAGAATTAATCGATTTTAACAGGTGTATTAAAATACGCTATATTGTTATTGTTCGTGCAATTTATTTTAGATTTGCCCTTAAAACAAAATAATCGTTATAATTGTTAAAATATACATTATACTAGTATATATATGTATATATTTTAACTAAGATGCATAGTATTATACATACAGTATTTGAAACAAATTATGGCATTCTTTTTTATTATGACTACATTATTTAAATTTTAACCAATATTTAAAACATAGTAGACAATTCATTAACATACTGAAATAAAAAATAAATAAAAAATATTATATCAGGTACGTTTATATATTAATATTACGTACCTAGCTGATAATTATCAATTCTAGAAATTGAGAAATATATCAATAAAGATTTATAATATTATTATCTTATAAAATATCTCTCGACCTCACCAACAGCAATTTGACACCTTCAATATTTTCCCTTCTTTATCTAATAGCTGTTTCCTATATTATATTCCAATTCGTCAGCAGGTTAGTATCTGCCTAAATTGGGAATAAAGCGTTTGAGAGATCTAACGTATAAAAGCGTCTGGTAAGGCTGACTGAAATAAGAAGAAAAAAGAAAAGAAAAAAGATTTGTTTACAAGTCAATGCATACTATTTTGTGCGTAACTTTACTTTCTTTGTATTGATCATATACGGTATATGGTACAGCCAAGTTATTTTAAACATCTTTAAATCTTTTGGAGACCATCAACCGGACACTTTTTGAATATTTTTTCATACTGGTTGGGGACCACCAAAACCGGTCAACCACCAAACCCGGACGGCCCCGAAAATGCTTAATTTAGTATTTTCTTTGTTCAGTGGTTGTCTGTCACTTATCAACAATAAATGTATGTTTCTTCTACAATTAAGTAAATAAATTTATTTCAACATCCGTAAATAGTAATATTTAAAAGGTCTATTTCAAGAATGTTGACGTTGAAATTTGGGGGTCAAGAAAGCAATGCCTGACCTCATAAACCAGCTATAATCATTTGCAGAGTGAATAATAGGGCATAATACCAGTTTAACACCCCTGGGATGTTTTAAATTTTATGTTATAGTTACAATATATGTCTGGTGTACCGGAGATGACTGAATTCATCCTTGTCATGGAGACGCTTGAAAAAAGTAGTACCTACTTACCCATAATTCTTGTGTTACCAACGAAACAGTCAGTTACTTGCAAAAGCTGCTACTTGCAGCCAATCCGCCTTTCTGAGACGTTCCAGTGTTCGAAATTAGCAGTAGTCCGATAGCCCCTGACTACTAAATTTCTCCTCGGGCTACCAACTTTTTACAGTAACAAGCCCGACCAGACTACTGTATTTTCAGAGGCACTTTAAACAACTGTTTTGAACAAATGAATCGTGCTAGTGAAATGTCTTTTGGGCTAGTGAATATTCCAATCTGGTAGTCCGACCGGCCTAGTGGATTCAAATCCAAATTTCTTACACTGACGTTCACGAAATTTAAAATATAGGTAACTGACTGTTGCGTTGGTAACACAAGAATTATGGGTAAGTAGGAACTAATTTTTACGATAAACGGTAATCAATACAGTATATATACCTTAAATCTATATTAGATTCATTCCCTTTAAATTTTGATATTATACATTTATACTAAAAAATTGATACAGTATATACATTACATTAAAGGGACTCCACTGAGGTTTTTTGACATGATGGGACTGGAAATAATTTTTTTGGGATTATTACTCCATCTGATGTATCCTATAAAAATAACCTATGTACAAAATTTCAGATCATTAGCTCGCTCTGTTTTTCCAGAATAATTATTAAAATAGTGAAAAATGACCCAAAATTGAAAACCATTTAAACGCTTTTCAGTCAAATCGAACCGAGAATAGCACAAACATGATTTTCAATGTATTTCTTAATTATAATTTATCTATATTTCTGTTTTAAGTGCTCATGCTAATCTATGTGAAAAATTAATTTTTTATGTTTTTAGGCTTATAAACCTCAGTGGAGTTCCTTTAAATCTGTATTATATTCATTCCGTTTAAATTTTGATTTTATTATACTTTTATAACTATAACACAATAATAAATGAACTTCAATCTTACATGATAGCTCCTGGGTGCTAATATATAAGCACCCTTTTATATAAAATATCATGTAGAAACTAAAATCATTAAGACAGTTTCCCCCAAAAATTCCAAGCCCCAGTTTAAAAAGCATTGTAACCCCCCAGGAAAACCCTCTCCCTGGCATTTGAAAGTATTTCCTTTATAAGGCAATAAAATATATAATGTATTAAAACGGAATGAGTCGCATCATTGTCTCTCTTTATATATACTTACGGAATAGCACTCGGGTGCTAAAATATAAGCACCCTTATATATAAAATAACATGTGGAAACTGAAATCATTAAGACAGTTTCCCCCAAAAATTCCAAGTCCCAGTTTTAAAAGCATTGTATCCCCCCAGGAAACCCTCTCCCCGGCAAAGTTTTTCCTTTATAAGGCAATAAAATATATAATACATTAAAACGGAATGAATCACATCATTGTCTCTCTATATATATACTAATGGAATAGCACCCGGAAGCTAATATATAAGCACCCCACTTATATAAAATATCATGTAGAAACTAAAATCATTAAGACAGTTTCCCCCAAAAATTCCAAGCCCCAGTTTTAAAAGCATTGTAACCCCCCAGGATAACCCTCTCCCTGGCAAATTATTTCCTTTATAAGGCAATATAATATATCATGTATTAAAACGGTATTAAAAGTAGTTCCCACGCGTAAGAAAGTAGTTAATCGGTCACGTTCATTGATTGGCATTAAATGTACTGCGCATATTAATACAAAGCGCCTGACTGACACATATTTTTTATATTGTAAAATGACAGATTAAAATCCCCCCCCCCCCCCAAAAAAAGAAAAACACCCGGGGTGTTAAACTGGTATTACGCCAATAATAGAATATCCAAAACTTCAGCATTTGTTGCTGATATATTGTATATCATATCAAAAATCAAAACACCCAAGCTTTTATCTAAATTAAATCACGTCATGTACATATCTGTCCGGACACATGGTACTGAGTGTAGGCAATTTAGGTTAGTTTGATACCCTCCTTATCAAGCCTCAGATATAAGTGTCAATAAAATCAGAAATATACAAACTAATTTGTTTGTTAGGAGTAGAACCTAGCTGAACTGTGTCAAATATTTTGGTCTCTAGGTTAAAAATTATGAAATCTGTACAGAAAAAAGTTCCAAAAGTGTCCGGTTGATGGTCTCCGACCAGTACAGATTTCATAATTTCAAACATAGAGACCTGAAAATTTGACACATTACATCCCAACTAACAAACTAGTTTGTTTATTTCTGATTATATTGACACTTGTATCTGAGGCTCGTCAAGGAGGGTATCAAAATTACCTTAATTGTCTACACTACAGTACCATGTGTCCGGAGAGATATGTACATGGTGTGATTTAATTCTGTTAAATGCTTTGGTATTTTAATTTTTCATTTTTAACATGATAAACAATATTTCAGCAGCAAATGCTAAAGTTTTGGATATTCTATTGTTTACTCTGCAAATGATTATAGCTGGTATATCGGGTCAGGTATTGCACTCTTAAAGCCCAAATTTTCAACATCAGCATTCTTGAAATAGACATTAGAATATCACTGTTGAAATAAATTTAATTGCTTATTTATAGAAGAAACATGCAGTTATTGTTATTAAAAAGTGTGTGATAAACCGACAACCAATGAACAAAGAAAAAAACTAAATTAAGCATTTTTGGGGCCGTCAGGGTTTGGTGGTTGTCCGGTTTTGGTGGTCCCCAACCAGTACAGTAAACATGTTTAAGTTCGTACTCAACTCAGCCCTATACCAACTCGGGCATGTGTCAACTCCACACAGGTAAACTCGGCCCACTTTTGAAAAAAAAAAACAACATATAACAGGTACCGTTGGCCAAGTGGTTAAGGCGTCCGCCTTCGGATCTGGAGGTCAAAGGATCGAGCCCCAAGGAGAGTGTTAATTAAAGGATAAATGTTTCTCGTGGGACTTGTTCCGAAATGGCCACTTCGTGAGCTGGGAGGTAGTTCCCAGCAAACAAAAGACGTTGTACCAACGTTGTACTGACGTTAGACCCTGACGTTGGGTAAACATTGGCAGAAGGTTGGATTTGAAAGTTTTTTTAGACGTTAGAATCTGACGTCTTAAAATGACCTTGATCCAACCTTATCTGACCATAATCCAACCTTTTCTGACCATTATTTGGACATAATCCAACCTTTTCTGACCATTATCTGACCATAATTCAACCTTATTTGACCATTATCTGACCATAATTCAACCTTTTCTGACCATTATCTGACCATAATCCAACCTTATCTGACCATAATCCAGCCTATTCTAACCATTATCTGACCATAATCCAACATTATCTGACCATGATTTAACATCATTTCAAACTTTTTGGAATATGATTTTTTTTTCATTTTAAGCTCATTAGTAGGGTAAACAAATAAGCATTATTATAATTTTAACAATTTATTTTCAATACGGAATCACATGTACAAAACAATAAATACGGTACTATAACAAATGCAACATTTTCTTGGTGCGCATTGACTTCATTAAAATGCGCGATCTGCATAAAAAAATGCGCAAATTGCGCGGCCTGTTCTCAAATACAAGTAACAGAAGAAATTGTCATATATAATTTCATTTTAATGAAATTTTCTGACAATGTTTAATTATGATTTTATGACAGTTTTCAGTTAATGAAAATTCACAGATCTTGTTGCTTTTAATTGATCACATGATAATCTACATAATCTACATTAACAATGCTTGGATTATCACAATTTCTTGAACAGTCCAGTGTGCCTACATAGATATTATATGATAACAAGTTAGGCCGTATATTATTGATATGATTTTGTTATCTCTAGACCAGCATGGATACTGGAGAAGAAAGTTTTGAGGATGACAATCTAGGTATTCAGGCATTCCATGTAGAATCTGATGAAGATGACCTTGATCTTGACATACCACCAACAACTGGCAATGAATACCTGAGACGTGTACGGTAATGAAATTTTATATTTTATGTTTGCCTTTTATATTATTGTCAAGCAAGTCCTTTAGTTACTTTTATTTATCACTTTCCTGTCGACTTTTAAACATATTAAAAATGGTTCATTCCAGTGTCATTTAAGGAAACTGTCACATACTGAAGAATTCAAATCTTTGATACCACGGAACCATGGCTGACTGAGGAAAAGAAACTTACTGTTAGGTCTTTCTTGTCCCTCAACTGCTGTAGATATATTTTAAAAAAAAGTATTTATATTAAGAACATTATTTTATTTCAGTATGGAGGCAAGTGGTTGTCCAAAAATAGTTGTTGCAGATCTTGATGTGAAATCATTAAACAAGAAACAGACAGTTCATGTGAAGGAGGTAGCCTATCGAGTATTTTGAATCTACAGTAACTGTTGCAACCTCTGCTAAATAATAACTTATTCAAAGCAACATTTCTTCTTAAAGTAGAACTTTAAAATGAATTTTTAGTCTCTAGAGTATGACCTCTTACTAGAGTATGACCTTTCAATAGAGTATTACCTCTCACTAGAGTATTACCTCTCACTAGAATATTACCTCTTACTAAGAGTATGACCTCTCACTAAAGTATTACCTCTCACTAGAGTATTACCTCTCACTAAGAGTATTATCTCTCACTAAAGTATTACCTCTCACTAGAGTATTACCTCTCACTAGGGTATTACCTCTCACTAAAGTATTACCTCTCACTAGAGTATTACCTCTCACTAAAAGTAATACCTTTCACTAGACTCATACTCTTCACTAGAATATTACCTCTCACTAGAGTATTACCTCTCACTAGAGTATTACCTCTCACCAAAAGTATAACCTGTCACTATAGTATTACCTCTCACTATAGTATTACCTCTCACTAAAGTATTACCTCTCACTAGAGTATTACCTCTCACTAGAGTATTACCTCTCACTAAAAGTAATACCTTTCACTAGACTCATACTCTTCACTAGAATATTACCTCTCACTAGAGTATTACCTCTCACTAGAGTATAACCTCTCACTAGAATATTACCTGTCACTCAAGTATCACCTCTCACTAGAATATAACCTCTCACTAGAGTATAACCTCTCACTAGAATATTACCTCTCACTAGATTACCTCTCAGCAACTACCAAAACCATTGTCTCCTTTAGAGAGACATAAGATCATGAAAAAAATGATATAATAGAGAAGGAAAGATATAAATGACCAGATATATTATACATGTATATTGGTAGTTATAATTTTGAAATAGAATTCTGAGGATCCTGTGTTTAAACTTGTCCTAATAATGCCACATATTTTCCTCACCAAGGACACCAAATGACATATAGATATCTAGCCTGTGATATGTGGATACAGCAGTAAAACAGGCTATTTCCTCTCCTTTAGGAGTCAAAGGTCACCATTTTATATGACTGGAGATAATGATTTTAGTCTGTCAGTAAATTAAGTAGTTAATTAGCAGATATGTGCCCCCATATACAAGGCATAGAGTGATGATAAACAGCTTGTTAAATACAGGAAAATACGAAAAGAAACATTATTTTTCCAGTGTTAAGCTGTGTAGTTTTTATAATTTTGCTTTTGCTTCAGTTATTACCTATATTTCAAATGATTCCCATCAAATGCTCCTCATCTTTTACAGTGGATAGGTGACCACCAGCCTGCACCGAGAGGATTTGCTCCAAGTCTTCAATGGCAGAATATGCAAGTGGCCAACTTTGCTGAACAGAGACAGGTCTGTGATTTAGATTTTATCTTGTGTGTGCAGTTTTCCTTGAACTGACTGGATAAGTTAAGTTGAAAGGAGTTGTCAGACTTTTGTTCAATTTGTTTAAAATGTCATGATTTATATAAGGTTTTCTGAGACTAAAAGTTATTATCCCTAGGTATAAAACCAGAATTGGAATATTGATGTGGCATTGCCCTTCTATCCTGATCCATATTGTAGAATTGGTAAATCTTATTTAAGAATTAATATCCATTAATTGTTGTTAAGTAATGATGTTTTGTTACTGAAAAAAAATCAAATAATTTATTTTGTTAAAGTAAAATTCCAATACTCATCTATAATTCACATCTGCTAAGACAGATTGTAATGAAATTCAAAGAATGTATAAAATAACACGGAAATTTGTTCATCATATACTATACAGTTGTTCATTATTGAGTTATGGCCTTTTCTTAATTTAAAATGAGCATTTTTGAAAGGTGAATTGGGCCATCTCAGTGTTGAAGTGATAGATTTTAACAGATAGTGAAAAATTAACACTGTTACACACATACTCAAATTGCTTTTAAAAGTTCAAAACTATATGTAACTGTAATGTTATAGATTATAGGATTTGGAAAATTATTCCATGATTGTTTTTGTTAGATCCTCATTATAGATGTTTATTTTAAAATAAGATTTAATATTTTAATCATGTTCACTCTTGGTGATCCACTGATTTTAGCTTACATGACAGGACTGTTTTTTTCCCCCAAATTTATGTACCGTTTGATGTAGGTTTGGAACAATAATTTGTGTGAACAATTTAAGATCATTTTTCACTATGATTTTGCAAGAAAAATATCTTTATCCTGAAAAATGACCAAAAAATTAGAAGTGTTGAAACTGTTTTTACTCAAATCATACTAAGAAAAGCACAAAAATATGATGTTCATTTAGATTATGAGTATATATTTTAATTATCTTTTGAATATCTTCCTATTTCAAGTGTGGTTTGTTTATGTAAGAAATTCAAATGTTATGTTTTTTTGGCTTAAAAGTTGGACCTCATTAGAATTCCTGTAAGTAATTCCTTTAAGTACATGTATTTTTTTTTTTTGAAAGGAGTTTGATGATTTGAGCATACATTCACTGTGTTTGAATTCTACTACTGTTACATTAACTTGATTAAATAACTAATATATGCCGGAGTGATATTATGATGCGTATTCAAACAGTGATTTTATCAATCGGTAAAATCACCGATTTGTATATATTATTTCGATTATAACACGATAACAACTAATAAATGCTGTCGTACCTAATATTTACCTAAATTGCGCCTGATTTGTTTCCGTACTTTTTGTCAGCGCATCACATTTTTAGTGGTGTCATGTGTATAATGATTACATTACACGTATAAATAATTATAGAATGTCAAACTGTAATTTTGTTGCATAATTACACATATTTTCGGTTCTTCTATGTTCAATAAGGAAAAATGCGGGTCGTGTTAGAATAAAAGACATTCTTCTAAGATATAATGACATTAAATTATAAAGTCATTTTTTAACGCCAAAATTCAATTTGGTCATTCGCTGAACGTATATTAGTTACGATATATAATTCCTCGCATCCAAACTCCAAACAGTGATTTTATTGAGCAACTATCATAGTATTAGTTATATTGCTTAACACAGCTCAATTTTATCACCTTTGTGTCATTATATGTAAAGATATCATATTCATTTTCTTTCATATTCTGGGGTACTTTATACTACATGTAAGAAGCTTCAATCAAGTGATTGTGTTGTTCTAGAGGTAATATCAATTCAACATGTAGTAATGTGATTGTTCTCTCCTTTATTTGTTTGGAAAGTGATCAAATATTTTTGAAAGGTTTATTAGAAGGTTTCATTTTGTCAAAATCATTTGAGCCATCGATAGATGAAATACCTTGATATGTATCCTCTTTTCCTTTGTTTCAGAATCTGGCACGTTATAAAGCAAAAAGAAAAACTCTTAAAGTAACCAAGTTGCCAACAGTGGTATGTTTTACAAGTTTTATATACATGTATATCCAGCTGATTTATGAAAGAATCTTTGTGTATATAATATTCTAGTACATTTATTTCACTTTCTAAAATGAAATACAGTGACCTGTAGTATTAAAATTGGGAAAGGCTATTAATGAATCACCATATTCTTACGATAGACTTACTAGTGGTCAATAACAAACTTATTTATTGATAAATTCCATCAATAAATAAATATGTAAGTAAGATTTATTAAAACACAATGTACATGTACAATGTATATTGTTCTGAAATCTAGATTTCTGAGTAAAGATTGTTAGATTCCTCATTTCAACTCAATAAACATAATAATTGTTTCTTGTTAAAAAAGGTAGATGTATTTTTGTGTACCTTTAGCAAATCTGTCAGTGGAGAATGGTGCTTAAATTGTTGTCAGCCTATAAATTAGCAAGGTAGCATAGGGCATAAAAAGGAAATTGCATAATAAATAGGTTAAAATGTAGAAATCCATCAAATATAGACAATAATTAAAGCGGCCTTTAGCTTTTCTAACACATATGTTATTTTTAGATCGTTTCATGTAATTGTCGAATCAGAAGAATTAAGGTGGAAAATGAAAAGTGCCAGCAATTTAATACATAAACAATAAGGAAACCCCCTTGATACCTCAAATCTACTGTTCTGCTGTATATATTTAAATAAGTAAAGCGGATAATTCTATTTTTTGAACACGAACGTCACTGACGCTGTTTCCTTATAAATAGCACTTGGGACGCTGTTTCTAAGAAGGCTTAACAGTGATATGATGCACTTTTGCAAGATAAGATTAGTGAAATGATAATTTTGAAACAACACAGAATTATTTTGCAAGTTAAAATAAAAGCGGAAGGCCGCTTGAATTATTGTTATTGAATTTGCTATGTTGAAATTCGATATATTGCTCCACGGTCGTTTTTGTTGTGGATGCCAATAGTGGTTCAGCTTCACCAAGATTTTGGTTCACCACTTGGCTGATATTTTATCCACTGAAAAGCCTGAAACTTGTTTGACATGAAATAAATAAGCTTGATATTATAAAAAAATGCCTTTATATGTCTCTTTTGATGAATAGATAAAATAGATTGCACACACATATATCTATAAAACTATGTGTATAAATTATAAAAATATGTTTTAAATTTTCAGCCACATGCTAATGATGTAGAGGCCTGGTGTAGATTGTGTTTTGGTCGATTAAGACCCCCAGCAAGGCTTGGACAAGACCCATCTAAAATAAAATCTGATTTAAATACTAGTGAGAATGAGACTGATATTAAGATGGATTCTGACAGGGAGACAACTGATGCTGACAGACCAGAAAGTTCTACAACATTTCCCTCCCATGAGGGCATTTTACCTCTAGGTTTGTCTTAAAATGTCTTCAAACTTTGATTGATAACTCTTTGGTTTTTGATTATGAAACATAAAAAAAGATATCTCATTTGCATATGAAATCTAAACAACAGTCTATTTCTTATCTAATTTCAAGAACATCTAATCAGATATTTAACATTGTCGTGAGTTTTCAGCTAAATAGCTTGTAGTTATCCATATACTGTGTCATTTGCTCTAAAAAAGATATTACTCATTTATGTAAAGGTTAGTTCATGATTGAAAAAGGGAGACAAAAAACTGAGTATAGGTTAGAGTGCATATTGGGTGTTCTTCGTAAATAAGAAAGCTCAAAAGGAGCGGAGCTTGCGAAGCGACTGTAGCTTTCTTATTTACGAAGAACATCCAATATGCACTCTAACTGGCTTAGTGCTCCGCCCATTTTTTTCGCCCAACACACTGCGTGACGTCACACGATAGCCTAAATGTGTATAACCATATTTGGAAGAGGTAGCGGTACACATTTTCGGGTCACGTGTTTTGCATAGCTTATTCCCACATTCTGTCTAGGTAAATCAGACAATATCACGGTGCATATCCATATCGGTACCCTCTTTGCGAAATATTCTCAAACGGTACCCTCTTTGAACATACACAGGTCATTCTCTGCTAAAAACAAACCAGCGATGGATAACAATGCAGTAAAAATTCATTGTAATAAGGAAAGGAGGTATGACACGTAGAAAAGATGTATACCATGGAACACTAGAATGTTTTATTTATGTGCTGATTTGTCATGTGCCCGATTTTCATGTACTGCAACTTCACAATAAGCTACAAAAAGTCGACATGACTTGCCTCGCCCGTCACCTCGACATATTTTCGGGCTGAAATGAACCTGTAGCTTGATTATATATGCATCATACATATTTTTTATGTTCATATACATATCATCTTCGGACAAATGGCAGTATATTGTCAAAAATAAATGTAAAATTAATAAAAACACCCTACTTTCGGTTTTGCAGCGGCACGGGCTGTAATATTTACATATTACATACATACTTTGTTGGAATAAGTGAACTTTTTATTTGGAAATTATAAAATGATACTGGTTCCGTAAGTAATAAAACATTTTTACTGTTATTTTGCCTGAACCTCTTTTTTTTAATTCTATGCCGTAGTGACGATATACATGTGCGTGTACGGAAAAAACATGATGCATAAATATTAATTAGTAGGCCTAGGAGTAAACTTCAAGATCTCTGCACATGCGTATATTTCACTTTAGCGCTCTTCGAAACTTAGCTCCGCCCACTTGCGTTTTATAATATAAAACGTCCAGTTTATATAAAATCCTGTTCTATTAAGATTTGAAACCTGAAAATTTGAAAAATCCTTGTCGCTGATTGGCTTAAAAAAATTGGCGAGCACTAATATTAGATATATCATAAATCAGTATAAAAAGAAATAAATAAGATGATTAGAAATAAAAATAAAATCAGCAAATGGAATTTTTTATATAATTAACACCATCATGTGTTTATTATTATTTTTGTATCATTTTATTCATTGACATTTAAAGTATTATCTAAATACTTTTAAATTAGAAAAAAAGAAAAAAAGAAAAACACCACATGAACCTTAAGATTATAATGAATTATTTTGTGTAGGCACATACTTATTACTTTTCAAATCATATCATGAGTTTTTTTATGATTCTTGATTTGTGGATGTAATATTAATGCATTTTAGCTCAACTATTCAAAGAGTAGTGAGCTTTTCTTACTAACACAGTGTTGGCATTGGTGTCAGTGTGGGCATTGTGTCAGAGTTAACATTGGTATCAGTGTCAGCATTTTTGTGTCAGTGTTGGCATTGTGGAAGTGTTGGCATTGAAATCAGTTTTGACATTGGCATCAGTGTTGGCATTGGCATCAGTGTTTTCATTCATGTCAGTGTTTGCATTGATGTTAGTGTTTGCATTGGCATCAGTGTTGCCATTGACATCAGTGTTTGCATTGAAAACTTTATCTCTTTCTTTGTGGTTTTAACTGGAGCTCATTTTATAAGGCCCATAAATTTGGCTTGGATTTTGACTTTATTCTAGATCTTTGTGAACTAAGAACATTTTTAGTTTAGGTTCTGCATGCAGCAATACTCTGTCAAAAAACTACTGATGTATTCTTTTGAAACTAATTTATGTTTTCAAAATTACAAAAGAAGGCCCATAACTCTGGCATTGATTTTGAATGAAATCGTCCTGTATGTTAAATCCTACATTATCCAGGCTCTAGTTAAACTATCAAGCACTGAGAAAGGTGAAGTGTGCTGGCCTTTTAACAGTTCTTGTTTCATTTCTTCTAAATGTCAGTGTGTAACCAAGTATTCAGGAAGAGATTTATAAAGTCAAGAAATATTAATACTATTTTTGAAATATTATAAATCTTGGTTAAAATGTTTAATAAGCTGACATTTTATTAAACTAAGTGCATAATGGATAAATTTACATGTATAAGCCATTATATTTTTAACAAAATAATATTTAAATCCTCAACAGGAAATGTTGTCATTGGTAACAATCAACATCAAATGCCAGTAAAGAGAATAATGGTTCTTATATATGATATCATTTGTGGTTTAATTATTGTATATATATTTTTGCACTGAAAACCTTGGTAAGCATTGAAATATGTACAGAACAATTTCAGTTTTTTGTAGGATCAGAAGGAAATAGGTATTTTTAAAATCAACAAGATATAGTCTGTAGTAATATAATTATAAGATGTTGCTTTGATGTTGTTAGATTATAGGCAAAACATCACTCTCCCAATATGTATATGAAATTGTCTTGAGTGCATTTACTCCATAGTTTTGGTTTGGTCTTTATTAACTTTAACTGACAGTAAACCTTAAACGATACATATACACAGATCTGTTATTTTCTATTACAATCATAAAACCCGTATGTTGAATAATAAATTATGACCTTGATCTTTATTTTACCTTGACCAACATGGTGAAATTATTGAAATTTGTTTAAATTGTCAGAACTTTGTTATTTATATATGGATTTAATTCAAACTTGCACAAAAGAACACATGACAAAACAAACTGGTTGAATTATTCTGTATGACCTTGAAATTCAAGGTCATATTGTAGAAATTTTCTTAAATTGTCACAACTTTCTTATTTATTACAATGAATGGAAAGCTTCTCTGTATTGTTACTCAAACTAAACAAATACAGAGATTTGTTATATCCTATTACAATTTCACGTAAACATGTATTTTGATTTCAGTTAGTGTAATGGTGGCCATGGATCAGCCGACAGTGTTAAAAGTTTTAGAGTATCACCTAAATTGGTTTGAAGCCACAGGATTTACAGAAAGACAGGTAAAATTTGGTTTTTATAACTCGATTTTTTTTTTCGGAAAAATTCAAAGTATTGCTACAGTCATATCGTCTTTTCCCAATGCCGGTGTCAGTGCTGTTGTTATAACTGTGCTATTTATTTATTTGATTCATACTTGGACAAAAGAACATGTTTGACAAAACTGACAAGTTGAATTATTCTGATATAACCTTGACCTTTAATTGACCTTGACGTCAAAGTATTGAAATTTGCCTAAAATGTCATAACTTTGTTATTTATTTATGGATTTGATTCACTCTTGGACAAAAGAACACATTAAAAAAACCGACATGATGAATGATTGTTTATAAAATATGTTCATCCTTTCATTAGATGATAATAATCTTTACTCACAGTTTTGCGTTTGTTTGATGTTACCATTGGCTCATACCTTACCAGATTGTTTTGACAATTACCTATAAAAGTGACATACTATAGTATTTTCTACTGAAATATCACATTGAATGTAGAAGATGTGTCATATATCTGTGAATGCTAGTTACAAAAATATCATAGAATCAGACGTGCAAAAACATAATCAGTTTAATATGACACTGTATAATGTTACCATATTTTTATATTCTGAATAAGCACATTAAAATTTCTGATATTGAAATCCCTGAATCTTTGGGATAAGTTTACATTCTAAGATGTACAGGTCTGTAAAATAAAGATCAAAATGAAAATTTCTTTACAATGAATGGAAAGTTGTTAAAATTTCAAACACTGCGGCTTTAACTAAAAGACTAAAATTAAATATGTTTGAACTAACTGTGATGATGGTAAAATATACAAACAGCTAATAATAAAAAGAAGCTATGTTACAATTCATAGGACTTAAGCAACAAACTCACTTTTATTCAAAATGAAAATTGTTAATACATGTAGTAAAATGTGTACTTTTTGCAATTGCCAAGAAGAAACTCTGTTGCATTTATTTTGGGAATGTCCAAAAATACAATCGTTATTTCAATATCTGAAAGACAATACAGATAATTGTGATGATAATTTTAATTGTAAATCATTTATTTTAGGTTCTGAAGTTAATGATTTTAAATATGATATTTTGTTTTTAGAATTGAAAAGATATATTTATTTGTCAAAGAGAAAAATCATGTTACCTACAATACCTCGTTTTAGAAATAGTCTTAAATTGGCATGGAATATTTACAAAAATACAAATTTGACCAAACATGTAAATGAAGGATGGCAAATTGTAAGAACTTTAATAAACTAATGAGCTACACTAAATTAATTTACCCCAAACCAATATGCTTTGTTTGTTTTTAATTTTTTTTGCATAATACATTATCATACATAATTGTTATACTTATTATATGAAAATTGATTGAATGTTTGAATATTATGTATATTGTAATTATAATTATTATAGATGATGATTTAAATATTATTAGCTCGACTATTCGATAAGAATAAGTAGAGCTATTGCAATCACCCGAGCGTCGGCGTCGGCGTCTGCGTCGGCGTAACCACTTATGTTAAAGTTTTTGCAATAGTTCAAATATTTTCAAAGTCCATTGACATATGGCTTTGAAACTTTGCACACTTGTTCACCATCATGACCCCAACCTGTAGACAGGAGGAGGTAACTCTATCAAGCATTTTTTTTTTACTATCAAGCACTAAGAATAGTCGAGCGTTGCTGTCCTACCGACAGCTCTTGTGTAGATATCATGTAAGGTATCAGAGGGATGACCCTGACCCTCTCATACCTATTACGGGGTAAATAAACGGGGTTACCCAGTTGGGGCCTAAAAAAAAAAAAAGTTATGTAACAATTTTTTTATTTGCAGGGTTATTGGTTTTATGCATTATTAGTAAGTCTAGATAAACCATTAATACCAGATGCCTGCTCCTTGTTACGAGGTCTAGCTAGAGCTTGCTCAAGATTACGTGCATCTCTTGTAAGTATAAAACCCTATGTCTTCTGTTTTACATGTGTACAAAACTACAAATAGCTTTTTTAACAAACAGTGAATAGTACAGACAATATTTTTGGTGCTAAAATGTCATCTCTGCAAAGTCTTGATACACATTTAAATCACTGTTATCAAAAATTTGCTTTGTTAGTTTGTAGTAGAACCAGTTAGTACTGTGTTATAATTTAACTATGGATGTACTAACAGTAACCTGCCATGTGTTCTATATCAAATTGTTACTATACCAACTCCTTCCTATGTCATTTGAAATGGTGATTAAAGCTGAGTTGTTTAACCCCTAGCCTGATTGTGACAACAGATTTTACCCATGCTGTCAGTCCACATCAAGATCAACTCTCACATGTTTCCCAACTGATCATAGTCTATACTGATCATAGTCTGTACTGCAAGCTATACAGCCGGAACATATTTTGATATTGTCCCTAATAATGATAAATGCTTTTGTCAATATTGAAAGATGGACAAGTCCATATAGATTATATATAGCATTATAAGGGTTCAGAAGTACTGTCATTAACCAGATTGTCTAAAAAAATGCCATGAATGTGACAAACCTTGTTAAGTAAATTAGGAGTACATTGATCTAGATTTAATTAATTTCCATAATTTTAGAAAATTTGGCATATTTTATTTCAGATTAAATTCTTTTCAATCATTATTTAAAGTGTATAATTTTATCTTGAAATTGGCCAATGATTAGAAACCTAGATATTTGATACATATCATCATTTGCTATATATGTATTGTTATAGTTTTGATACAAATTGTCTGTAACAAACTGCAATTACATTTATTTTCAGGAGAGCATAGATGACCCAAGACTTACACCATTAAACTTATTCATATGTTTAATATCAAGATACTTTGACCAATCAGATTTGATGGATCGTGTCACATGACAATACTGCAGGGATGTTAAACAATCAATGTTCTTCAGTAATGTTCCAGATATGTTGAGTTAGATAAGTCAGGTCTTGTGGACTGTATCAAATAAATGATTACATGTGGACAGTACCATCACCTGAGAAAACAATATTTGTATAGACAAGCAGTGTGGTAAAAGTCACCATATGAAAGCATTCTTCTATTTTGAGTACAGCAGTTTGAGAAATAGTTTGAGGAATAGTTGGGCTATCCTATTCATTCAGTGCCTCCTGCATTTTTGAGGAATGTGACTGCATAACGCTTAGTTATGGTTCTTGGTGCAATATAATGTCTCATATACATAAGTTATATATATATGAATACTCGTGTATGTCTTTACGATGGATCATAATTTAGATTAAATTCTCGAATTCTACCTGTCCAGCTGGTGTAAACATGCATACAAGGATGTACAAAGAACCCCAAATTCTGTTCCTATAACCGCGGAAGTTATTCACTGGTAGCTTCTCACATCCCATTTATATTATTGCTGTATTTTTACTAGATTTACTTAAACAAAGAAGATTCCTTGTTAAGGTTGTGCGCCATGCAAAAGGGACTGCGCTGTTCACGGACAAGTCTTGTTATTATAAACAAATATAGAATGTAAATATAATTACTATATAAAGTATTTAAAGAGCTGTCCTCTACATATTTCAGTTTTCACATTTTACATTCAATTTTTAGATAAAAGCTTCTTTTGCTCTAGCTTTTTATTACGAAGGATTTCAAAAACAGTGGGGCAGTAGTTTTAAATTTACAAGATGATTCTATCAAAACTAATACTGAAAGGTCATAAAGCTATATTTGACCATCTCAAATTGAAAGAATAATGTTTGTAGAAGTATAACATGAAAATACAGGTTTCAGTATTTCTATAGTACAAAGTCAGTTATAGCTTTACACCCATAACACTTAAAACAAAGTTGTAAGGGGGGTATACTGGAATCAGCTTGTCCGTCCGTCCGTCGGTTTTTTCTTGTCCGCCCAATAACTTAAGATTCCTTTGACCTACAGTCGTCATATTTGGCATGGAGGTTAGTCATGATTAGTAGATGACCCCTATTGATTTTGAGGTCACCAGGTCAAAGATCAAGGTCACAGGGGCCTTGACTTCAAAAAGCTTGTCCGCCAAATAACTTAAGATTCCTTTGACCCACAGTCTTCATATTTGGCATGGAGGTAAGTCATGATTAGTAGATGACCCCTATTGACTTTGAGGTCACCAGGTCAAAGGTCACAGGGGCCTTGACTTCAAAAAGCTTGTCCGCCCAATAACTTAAGATTCCTTTGACCCATAGTCTTCATATTTGGCATTGAGGTTAGTCATGATTAGTAGATGACCCCTATTGACTTTGAGGTCACCAGGTCAAAGGTCAAGGTCACAGGGGCCTTGACTTCAAAAAGCTTGTCCGCCCAATAACTTAAGATTCCTTTGACCCACAGTCTTCATATTTGGCATGGAGGCTAGTCATGATAAGTAGATGACCCCTTTTGACTTTGAAGTCACCAGATCAAAGGTCAAGGTCACGGGCCTTGACTTCAAAAAGCTTGTCCGCCCAATAACTTTAGATTCCTTTGACCCACAGTCTTCATATTTGGCATGGATGTTGATCATGATTAGTAGATGACCCCTTTTGATTTTGAGGTCACTGGATCAAAGGTCAAAGTCATAAGGACTTTGACTTCAAAAAGTTTGTCCACCCATTAACTTAAGATTCCTTTGACCCACAGTCTTCATATTTGGCATGGATGTTGATCATGACTATAAGGTGACCCCTATTGATTTTGAGGTCACTGGGTCAAAGGTCAAGGTCACAGGGACCTTGACATAAAAAAAAGCTTTTCTTCTCAATTGCTAAAGAATGTCCTGTCCGCAATGTATTGATTTTGACATTTTCACATTTGAAGCATGTAGAATACATAACTTAGCAATGCACTGGCTTAGTAACCTCAGATTTGGCAGGGAGGTTGACCTTTAGCTCTAAATGGCCACTGTTGATTCTGACAAAGTGGTATGCGGGGGTATTCACGCCATGATAGTGGTAGTTCTAGTTAAAGTAGAAAAAAATCTTTATACATTATAGCTTATGGATAGTTAGTAGTCCTACAAGGGTGCATGCTCTGCATGGCAAGGCTTTGGAAGGAAGTCTGTTTCCACTAGTAAAGCTAGAATGTTGCTATGTGACCTTTAAAGTGTTGGTGAGACATAAAACCCAACCAGGTCGTGAATATGAAGATTTTATGTTTTCTACCAAAACCTAGTACTAATTAATATCTTGAAATATTGTTATAGAATGAAGAAATAAATATGAGAAAATTATTGTGAGCCTCCTGTTTTATTAACATATTTTTTACATACAGTAGTTTATGTAGTTTATACAAAGAAAGAATAACTTACATTTATTAGGAAATTAAAGAATAGGGAAAAAATTGTTTTCATTAATTAATCAAATTTTATTTATGGAATGTCCTTGAATTTCTCCTTGGAAACTATTTTTTGTTGTTATTGTGTTTTCATGTCAACAGAAAAATATCTGTATTGTATGTAATTACCTATACAGTGCTAATATCAGTTAAAATATCATTATATTACCTAGTGGTTGGTGGATACAAAAAGAGAGGATTTTTATATATTAATTTAATCAACTTCAGGTGAAAATACCACTCAGTATATTTATATTCATGTTTAACAGCTGTAGGTAATGAAAAGTGTCATTTAATTCTTATACTGGTTTGTCCCTTATTAAAATATAACCATAAAAATATATAAATTTTCATTAATAAATTGAAAACAAAATGGTAGAAAAATTAATCTCTAAATATTGTCTGTTTTAACATTTATTGCCTATGAATTACATAAATAAAAAGGATAAAATGGTATTTGTTAAGAAAAAAATCACCTGCTATTTAAGTAGGTGTTGTGTTTTTTTTGTGGGATAAGAAGTTATGTAAATTATTATTATGGATAATAATGAAGTGTACACCTAGACTGACCACCTTCAGTAGATAAGAACCAGTGTTGTACTGATTATCAATGTAAATTGATAATGCTTCATCATCCACACAGTTTGCTATTCAGTCAATACATATTTTGAATGTTTCCCTAAAAATGATTAATGGTTTTGTCCAGATTGAAATACGGACAAGTCCATTGAAGATATTTAACAAGAAAAGGTCAAGCTGTTTTTCAGCTAGTATATTTCAAAAAAACAGTATCATGGTCGTGTTATAATTTATAATAAAACTAGGTACATGTACAGTGATGAATGTCAAGGTCTATAGTTCATATCACCGTATAATTTAGTCTAGTAGAAAACATGATTGTTATTTATTGTTGCCATGTTAACATATGACTCACCAGTAGTTTATTGTCAGTGGACACATTATGTAAATACAACCTTACTGAATACAGTCTATTTATATGAATTTATTTCTATAGTGATTACTTTGCAGACTACATATTAAAGAGATATTGTAGTTATTTATGGCAGTAAGGAAGTAATTTGGGAAATGTTAAGATTTAGTTTTTATGCTCCCCGAAAAATTTCGGGAGAGCATATAGTTGGCGCCTTATCCGTCTGTCCGTCCGTTGTCTTGTCCGGAGCATAACTTGAAAACCCTTGGAGATAATTTGTTGAAACTTCATACAGTGGTAGAGGGCATTGAGGGGGAGTGCAGTGTCAAAGAACCATAACTCTATTTTGCCTGGTTTTTGAATTATCTCCCCTTATAGAAAAATCTTGTCCAGGGCATAACTCTAAAACTATAAGAGATATCAACATGAAACTTTGTAGGTGAATAGATCTCAATGGGTAGATGTGCAGTGCATAAGGACAATAACTCTTTTTGTCCTAATTTTGGAGTTTTTGCCCTTTGTTAATTTTAACACTTTGAACTTTGTCCAGAACATAACTCTAAAACTATAAGAGATATCAAGATGAAACATTGTAGGTAGATAGATCTCATTGAGTAGAGGTGCAGTGCAAAAGAACCATAACCCTGTTAAGCCTCATTTTTGAATTATCTCCCCTTTTAGAAAAATCTTGTCCAGGACATAGCTGTAAAACTATAAGAGATATCAACATGAAACTTTGTAGGTAGATATATCTCAATGGGTAAATGTGCAGTGCACAAGAATCATAACTCTGCCTTGCCTAATTCTGGAGTTATTGCCCTTTGTTTATTTTTACTTTTTGAAGTTGTCCGGGACATAACTCGGAAATCATAAGAGATATCATCAAGAAACTTTGTAGGTTGATAGATCACATTGATTAGAAGTGCAGTGCAAAGAACAGTGACACTGCCTTGCCTAATTTTGGAATTATTGCACTTTGAACTTTTTCCAGAGACATAACTCTGAAACTACAAGAGGTGTACTTTCCTGTGTCCAAAACCTATTCGGGGAGCATCACCCAGCTCAAACCGGGCTCTTGTTTTAACATATTATTCCTTGTAGCATATATAGATATTTATTTTTTACTTGCACCTGGGAAGTAAGTCTTCCCAGCTTGTACATGTACAGGTACCTTTTTTTCATTAGCCTTTTTAAAGCTTGAATGATGATACCTGATGTGAATTTATTTAAATATTCTCATGAAATTTATTAAGAAATAACAGGTTAAAATTGAACAATGACTAGAAATCTTGAACGATCAGATTCGTGTATAAATGTCAGGGATGTAAAGTGACCACTGTAATGTTTTAACACATACTAAAAAAACTTGGCTCATTCTTCTTCGTGATATTATAATATAATGATGACCTTTTCAAACCAAAATGGCTCTTTATTTTTTTTTTTTTTTAATTATTTCATTTGTGATTAATCTTTCAATGTTGAGCATTATGCAGTTTAAGAAAATACTTGTACAACTCCTATACCTTGAATTTCTTCTCAATAAAACATTAATAGTTGTGAAATGATCTGAGTGTATGAATGTAAGATGAAGATAAACATTTTAAGGAAGCAATCTTTAGTGCAACTTCTATATCAGTAGCCCAATGTAGAGCAACAATTTCATTAATTAAAACCACACTATCATTTCGTCTCAAAATTAAATCTTCACAAAAACTTAAAGGCACATTATTCCTCAGAAATTCATATCTTTTAAATCTTGACAAATGTCAAATAGGTGTTTAATTATGTTTAAATAATGGTTTAAGAACATATAAGATATTTACCAACTGAAGAAAGTAGCGCTGAACGTACAGTACTGTGTCATTAAGGTAGAAAATTGTAAACAAAGAAGTATTTTGACTTCCATACAAATACTGATTCACTATAATTATACCAATTGCCAACAAAACAAAAGTAGCAGAAGAAAGTTCATTAATATGGCTAATATGTAATTTTTTTGGAAACTAACAATATACCAAAAATAAACGTTTTTGAGAAATTAATTTGATAGCATTTCTTGGCTGTAACCTGTCTAGAGCAACACCTACCAGCAAAATTCAAAATATTCATATCTTAAAATATATATGAGCCGCGTCACGACAAAACCAACGTAATGCGTTTGCGACCAGCATGGATCCAGACCAGCCTACGCATCCGCGCAGTATGATCAGCATCCATGCTGTTCGCTATCAGTTTCTCTACATGTAATAGGGTTTGTAAGCGAACAGCATGGATTCTGATCAGACGGACTACGTTGGTTTTGTCGTGACGCGGCTCATATTGTTGCTCTGCAGATATTATTTCATGTGTTGATTTCGGATTGTGTCTGAAATGTACTATAACAGGCAACTGTTTGTGATGTAAATAAATAAACATTTCAAGACTTCATATGTAATAATTATATATTTAACAAATTAAAAGTGATGAACATTTAGCATTTTTTTTTAAGATAAACGTGTCATATACATTTAAACGATGCTAATATTGATATATGCATTAAGTTAAGTATTACATTTAATTGCGATATTTATCACTACACAAAAGTTACTTTGTGTTCGTGTCAAATTGTAGCTGCATGCTTAAAGATGAGACGAAAATTTCGAGAAAATGAAGAAAAATATACTAAGATTTTAAGACTAATAAAATATTTACAATTCAAGTAATTATTCATATGTTGCATGCAATGAATGACTGAATTTGCATCATTTATCACATGACTAATACAGTATGGGCTTTTTTGGGTATATTTTGACATTTATTTGGTAGTTTACGTGAAATGGAAGTGTATTTTGCATTGTGTAAATTACTTTCTTCGTTCACTTGAAAATATTTTACTTTTTAAGACATTTTCAAACTTTTCAGGAAAATGATAAGTATGAATCTTGAGGCAGGCTGCTTTAATATATTACAACAAATATTGAACACGGAAACAAACTGATTTGAAGTATGGAAACATACGAATTAAACTGATTGGAAGATGAGAACATACCTAACAAACATAATTAAACTGATTTGAATATTGAAACATACGGAACTAAATCTGTGATGTTTACAGAACTTGACTGCACCCACTTGTAACCTGTATGGTAGAATGAATGTTTAGTGAAGGTATATTCACTTGAAGTCCTTTGTACCATTCCCCTTCTTTTCAATGATACACATCCAAGTCTTCCAATAATGTTTAACTTCATAAAATTACGACACATTTTCCTAAACTGGTTAAAACGAACTGGATCTATTTCGTTTTGAAAATATTGACTTGATGGGATATACACGTAATTATCATCCAGTTCGTTTATTTTGTGTCTGGCTTTTAATTCTTTTCTATAATTGTTCAGTTGATACGATAAAAAGTTGGGCCCTGAAGCATCAATGTCTTGGCTGAAATGACTAAAACTGGGCAGTTCATACATAAGTTTTCGTAGGAATGGATGGTGTTGTCTACAAAACATGATAGAGTTGGTAACCATGAACATAGAGTTGTATATGAGAGAAGCGTGTTCATACGGTTCAGGTGAGATAACGCATGAGTATTTGTTAAGAACGCGGCCAAGGTAACGAAGACAAATGGTGTCCAAATCGGCGTATACTCCACCAAATTCATGCAAAACAACGTACCTGAAACAAATTTGAATAAATAAATAAATCAACCTCACTGCAAAACAATACACATGTTGCTGCTTTTGAGTGTTAAGTACTTCATTTTTTTAAAATTGTTTTTATTACTCATTGTTGCGTTAGCGCAATATTCTTCTCAAATTAACACTGACGTTTGTAAATAAATTCTAGTATACTATTGTCTTATGATGATAAAGATACATACAGTATTGTTGGTATGGCATTTCTTACACGAAGAATGAATCTTGTCTAGTATTAAGCATGTTTAACTGTTTTTGATAAACCTTGTGCACAATGCACATTTATGCTTAAAATAAATGTTTAAAACATTACCTGAGCAAGTCTGCCTTTCTAACAGGTTCCACGTAGTTATCATACGTGTACAGAAGTTCTGGGTATCTCTCCACCAGCAGCTCCCTGGCAGATGCATCAGTCCAAAAATAGTACTCAAAATCTGGATTCAGCGTCACAAATGACCGTACATTCTCATGAAATGCTGCCGGTATTATAACGTCCTTCCATGTTTGATGGATGATTTTAGGTATTCTCGGGTATCTGCCAGATATTGTAGGGAAATCTTCATCAAGGACAGGTTCAAAAGGTTTAACATCCCGAATATCAATGGGTTTACCTGACCCCAGGACGATTTCATTTTCACCAAATACGTGAATTATGAGCAGTATATAACAACAAAGACAACATGTAACAGTTACAGGAACTATCCATTTCTTTCGTCTCCAAATTTTTATCATATCCTCGTCCCGTATAAACTTATTTATCATTGAATACTTGTTTAATATGTAAATTGCCTTAAGCACATTCTGTTATTTACACATTGGTCTCTTTTAAAGTATTCTTCAGCATCCTTAATTCTTTTCTACAATATTACATATGTATAGCATAATTATCATAATCACCACATTCCTTTACGAAAGAGATCATAATAACTATAAAAAATATTCAATAAATAACATATAATCTTTGTATAAGACTCGAATATCTTATCACCTTCAATCAAATCATGTTGACCTAATTTAACATATACATAAAGATAAGACGTACTTATCTATGTTCGGGATTTTTGTGATCTTCCCGCCATTTTGTTATGTAATTAAGGGGTTGAAATGAATATAAAATGATTTGCTCTGCTATATTTTTATTTGTAATTGTCTTGATTGCTACATACTTCCATCAATGTAGCCGAAGTTAGATAAATACTGTATCGGATACCTTATTAATACTTGAATATTATTATTTATTACATGCTTTTCGGTGGTTTATAGAAATATATCAGTGATATAAAACTGGTAATTTCACTGTTACCACTTTGATAATTTCACTGTTTTGAATTTAAGCCCCTTACGTTGTTTCAGTGAAATACCAGCGTGCACAGTACTGGGTACCAACTTGTAAATGACGTCACGTTGTATTATTATTTCATTCATTTTTATGTTTAATGTATTTTTAAAACGTTTCTTTGCATATAATGAAAAGAAAATTTGTTTAGTTTAGTGTAAGATCGAAATATATTTCAACTTGTGAACACCAAAAGTTCATATTTCACTCGTGGCTGCGCCACTCGTGAAATATACCTTTTGGTGCTCACTCGGTGAAATATATTCCTATCTTACACTGAACTAAACAAATATCCTCTATATACGCGTAGTATATATTTCCGTCAAACAATGAATCGTGGGTATTAAAAGAACTCCAGAAATTACTACTGACAAGAATTTAAATGCATTTTTTGTTACTTTGTTTTAAATTAATGGAAGTAATTTTCTCAAACACACATGGGCATTAAATCATAAATGATATGTATCTCTCAGATTATGTCAGAAGGAACCGTTACCTTTGAATCTTTAATTAATAAGGGAACTTACGTAAGTGCGTCATTTGATTTACGTAACATAGACAATTATCTTTATGAACATAACATAACATAACATAACATAACATAATCTTTATTTCTCTCAATACATGTATACATGCAAATATGAGGAATTTACAATAAATGATATAATCATACGAGGCTCATAAAAGGTGACAAACAAAACATGCAAATCAATAATTACAAAATTAGAACTAATGTAATATAAATAACACAAGTATTTTCAGTGAATAGTTAAGTTCTTATTTTTTGAATAATACATTTAACAAATTTACACAATTTGAGAAATTCAGATTTGTTTTTAGTACACATAAGATTTTCTAGTTTAAAAATGTTTGGTCGTTGATAATATACTTTTTTCAAAAATTGTTTTCTTTCTTCGTTGAATTGACAACATTCAAGTAAATAATGAAATTCGTCGCCAATTTTATTTTGACAATTAGAACAAAATCTTTGGTTAATTGGAGTACTGGACCAATTTCCCGTTTCTATAGGAAATCGATGATTTCTTGTTCGAAATTTAATAAAAAAGTACAGTAATGAACTATCTAAATTTGCCAAGTACGATTTCAAATCCAAAAGTTGTCTTAATTATTCTATAAAACAAACTGTTACTCGAATTTTCAATTTTAGAATGCCATCCATTTAAAACAGATCTTTTAACTTTCGTTTAACAGAAAGTTTGAGCTACTCATAGTTAGTAGATGTGTTGTCAAACCACACTTGTGAAAGACCACATTTGATTATAATAGTTTTGACATTAAAAAACCATGGAAATTTCTTTTTAAGCAAATTATCACTTAAACCAGCTGTTGAGTGTAGTAAGTTTATTATAGACAAGAATTGACAATTTATTATTAGCGTTAACACCGTCTTTATTACATAATTTTGACCAGAATGATATTATCCTTTCTTCGATGTCAATAGCTAGAGGCAAACAACCGGTTTCTCCATAAACAAAATAATTTGCTGTTGACTTTTTTAATTTAAGAATAATTTTTAAAAACCTTAGTTGAACTCGCTCAATAATGTCGAGATTACCATATCCCCAAATTTCTACACCGTACAGTAAAATCGGCTTAATTGTTTTATTAAATAATTCAATTTGTAAATCTATTGGAAGATTGAGACGATTAGAATTTTTTACTAAACTATACATGGCTCTTGTAGCTTGGCTTTGCAATATGTTTTTTACATTTTAGAAAAGAACCTGTTTTACTAAAATAAATTCCAAGATATTTGTATTCATTTACTACCTCGATAGGTTCGTTTTTAAAAGTAAAATTATACATTTGTTGTCTACCTTTAGAAAAAACTACGATTTTTGTCTTTGACGTATTAACCTTAAGTTTCCAATTATCACAGTATTGTTCATATATATTTAATGCTTTTTGTAAATCATCTGCTGTTTCTGATATTATTACCGTATCGTCAGCATAGAGTAATATAAATAATTTTAAAAGACAGAAAAGCTCATTTGTATTACTTCCATTTACCAATGTTATTCCATGTACGTTACTGTCATTTAAAAAATACGATTCTAGATCGTTTAAGAATAGTGAAAATAGCAATGGCGATAAATTTTCTCCTTGACGTACACCTATATTACAAGGAAAAAAATTAGAAAAACAAGAATTTACCTTAACACATGACTTTATGTTACTGTACAAATTTTTAATGACCTGAAAACATTTTCCATTAATATTTGAGTTTATCAGTTTTTCCCATAAACCATTTCCCCAAACTGTGTCAAATGCTTGTTTAAGATCAATAAAGGAGCAAAAAAAGCTTTTTTCCATTGTTATTAAGATAATGAATAATGTGTTGCAAAACAAATAAATGATCTGAAGTAGAAAATCCTTTCCTAAAACCTGCCTGTACATTGTTAATTATTTCATTAGATTCAACATAATCAGTTATTCTTTTATTTAAAATACATGTAAAAACTTTACCTAAACAACTTAACAAAGTTATAGGCCTATAATTTCCAGAAAGAGTAATTAAGATATATATTAATATAAGAAGACCGCAAATGTCTTTAGAATACATGTACAGGTATTTCAATTTTGATGCTTTCATACCGATTAAGAAGTCAGTAGTTGTTATACAGTTATTTCATATGTGATTTGGGAACAGTCAAACTGTTGGCCCGAGGTGGAGGGGATAGTGTTTTGAACTGTTGCCCAAGGCCGTAGGCCGAGGGCAACAGTTCAAAACACTATCGACGACACCGAGGGACAACTTTTTTGACTGTTCCCAAATCACATATGAAATAACTGTTTTATTACCTGATCAATTACTGTTTTAACTGTACTTGCAGAAGAAAAAAGGAACAAGAAACTAGTTTTGCAAATGTGTTAATAATTAAACTTTCTCAATTAACAATCTTTTAATAATGTCACGTCACGTCTGGTTTATGATCAAGATCAATGTACGCTTCAATGGAATCCTCTATGACGTCAGAAGTGCAATTTTCAGGGACGTCAGAGCACGCGAGGGAAACAGTCGAAAATATTGACCGGTCAACAGTTCGCGAACGCGGACGATTTTAGAATTTCAGAAAATAGTAAAAAATAGCAAATTAAATTTGTATAAGGTATCAGGTAATAAAACGAAATATAGCACGGGTATTTTCGATACATTGAATCAAATACATGACAAAAAACTATGAAAATTTGCATATCAAAGTTATTTAACATTTTATTTGTTCTCAAACCGAAGCAGTGATATAAAAAAAGTTGTGACAAAAAGTGTGGTCGGAAGTTCCACGATTGGATACGTTTTATTACGTTTGGGTCATACAATCAACAATTGTAGAAATATTCTTTCCATGTGTCGCGTTCAACATTACAGATGAAGCATATTTTTATATACATTGTGTACAATAAATATTAGCTATTTTTTTTTTCACTATTAAAAAAGAATATATGAGCCGCGTCATGACGAAACCAATGTAATGCGTTTGCGACCAGCATGGATCCGGACTAGCATCCGCGCAGTCTGATCAGGATCCATGCTGTTCGCTATCAGTTTCTCTGCTTGTAATAGGGTTTGTAAGCGAACAGCATGGATCCTGATCAGACTGCGCGGATGCGCAGGCTGGTCTGGATCCATGCTGGTCGCAAACGCATTACGTTGGTTTTGTCATGGTGCGGCTCATATATGTATTTATCACACACCCGTGCCGATTTTGCGACTCCGTAAATATGGTATTGCACGGCCGTGCATATATTTTGACGTGACGTCATTAGCGTTATACAAACATAGTGTAAAGACGCGCTAAATGTTAGCGTTATACTATAGGCGCGTCAATGAAAAATGACTCTTATTTCACTTTAAACGGTCTTTATTTTGGGTATGTGATAAATAGAATATTAAATTCGTGTAAGTTCATTACTGAATTTATTGCACTCGTTGAATAAAATAATATTATGCTCGCCAGAGGCTCGCATAATATAATTTTATTCAACTCGTGCAATAAATTCAGTATTGAACTTACACTCATTCAATATCCTCTATTTATCACACACCCGTGCCGATTTTGCGACTCCGTAAATATGGTATTGCACGGCCGTGCATATATTTTGACGTGACGTCATTAGCGTTATACAAACATAGTGTAAAGACGCGCTAAATGTTAGCGTTATACTATAGGCGCGTCAATGAAAAATGACTCTTATTTCACTTTAAACGGTCTTTATTTTGGGTATGTGATAAATAGAATATTAAATTCGTGTAAGTTCATTACTGAATTTATTGCACTCGTTGAATAAAATAATATTATGCTCGCCAGAGGCTCGCATAATATAATTTTATTCAACTCGTGCAATAAATTCAGTATTGAACTTACACTCATTCAATATCCTCTATATATTCAATGTTTTGTTATTAAATTAAATAATCGTTTTGAAATAAAATGCTTTCATTCTGTGGTTCGACATCTAAGACTACTAATTTTACTTACAACATCTGTATTGAACAGTTACGTTTTTACAGTTAAAATTTTCTTTTTTGTTCTTTTTCTTAAAATAAAATCACATACACGTTTGGTACTGGAAAT